GGGGGGGCATCCCTGAGAAGAAAATTAAGTAGCGGAAGAAAGCAATTATTTTGCAAAGAGAAGCACAGCATCCGCAGCAGAAGCGGATTACCAAGTGCCTTTTCTGGCTGACAGCAAAGCCGCGGAAGGTCTTCCAACAGCCATCATGGTTGGGGCTCCGTCGTGGGGCGGGGGGACAGGCAGGCCAAGCTGTTCTGTCCGCGTAGAGAGGGTTATTTGGCCCTTGCCGCACCCACACCTGTGCTGCCAGGTGGGTGTCAGGCCAGGTGCCCAAGGGCATGTAGCGTGTTGAAGAAGCCCAGAGCAAAGTTTTGTGGGGCTCCCCCCCCCCGCAGTTGGGCTGCCAGCGTTGCTTCCTCCAGAGGGTCACTTGAAGGCCCTGAAGCAACTGGGTGGGATCCCCGGTTGTCGGCAGGGCCATTTGGCAGCCCCCTCCCACGCTGCCCCCGGGCCGGGCCGGGCCGGGCCAGGCCGCTGTTCTTCCCGGGCTCTGTGCATCCGCACCTTTGGGCTCAGCAGGTGCGCTTGGAGCAGCCTTGGGGAGACTCCAGAGCTGATCGGTCACCTGCGCATTCACACAACCCACCCGCCACCCCTGCCAGCGCCGCCTTTCCCCAGACACAGGCTTGGCAATGCCGCGTAATGAGAGGCGCTCGATGGGGGCCCTGCTGGTCAGAACTGGGGCCTCTGTGGGAGCCCTCCCCACACGCTGGGCGCGCCCGGGGGGTGGGCTCCCACCCGGGGAGCATCCATCAGCTCTGAGATCTTCCTGAAGCGCTCCATGCATGCGCACAGTGCCCACAGGTGTGGACGCACAGCTGGCCGCGCGAAGAACGACGGTTGCAGGCAGGCGGCCGCCTTTTCCCGGGCAACGAGGAAGGGAAGCCGGCAGCCGAAGTGCCACCAGGGAGCTGCTGGGACCGGCCTCTGCTGTGGCAGGGGGGCCCCGACCTCCCCAGGGATGGGACAGCCGCAGCCGGGAGCTGGAAGTGCCTGCGACACCCCCAGCTGCTAGGGAAGTGGGCAGGCGTGCTCCGGCTGTGATGCCACTCTCTCGTCAGGGCCACGAGCGACCCTCCCCGGGGCATGGACGCGGCCGCCTGGCACGGTGCCGGTCGGGTCAGCCGCGCAGCCCAGCATCCTCAGGCCAGTGAGGGCCCTCCGTGCCCTCGGGCTGAGAGCCGGGCCCTTGCTGCTGGAATCCGCTGGGCCGGGCCTTCCTCTGCCAGAGTGTGCCCTCCTTTGCTGGACTCGGCACCAGACAAGGCGGGGTGTGCTGGGGGGGCACTCTGGGCCGCCTTGGCCGCATCCATCCGCCGGTGCACCTGGGAGACGCCGGGAGGAGAGCAGGCCTGCGAGGCAGCAGAGTCTCTGTGGAGCGCGAGGCGCCCCGAGACGGGGTGGGGGGCAGCCCAGCGGGGAGACCCGGCCCCATGATGCGCGGCCCACTGGCCCCACCCGCTTGCCCGCCTTTCAGGTGCAGGAGCTGCAGAGCCCCCCCCGGGCCAGCCAGGTGGTGAAGGACTGCGTCAAGGCCTGCCTCAACTCGACCTACGAGTACATCTTCAACAATTGCCAGGAGCTGTACAGTCGCGAATACCAGGCAGACCCCGTGAGTGCCTCACGAGGGGCCGGCGGGCGGGTGGGCCGGCTCCCGTCGGCATGCCAGTCTCCGCCGGGCCCAGGTCAGGGAATCCTGGGGCCCGACCCCAAGTTCCCCTTCTGCTCGAGGAGCGGTAGCGCGCACAGCACCGGCACCCGGCCGTGCCGGATGCTGGCGGGGAGGAGGGAGGAGAGGCAGGTCGGAGCAGGGGCCAAGGGCCCAGGCCCCCTCCCCGCCCCGCGGCAACGGAGGTTTTCTGTGGGTGGGCACTCGCGGCAGGTCTGGGCCAGCAGCCGGGGCCTCCACCTCAGGCTCCCTCTCGCCCCAGAACAAGGCGCCGGAAGTGGCCCCGGAGGAGCAGGGCCCCAGCATCAAGAACCTGGACTTCTGGCCCAAGCTCATCACCCTGATCGTCTCCATCGTCGAGGAGGACAAGAACTCCTACGCCCCCGTCCTGAACCAGTAAGAAGCCCCCTGGGCAGCCGGCCCCCGGCTCACGGGGGGCTCCGCGCGCCTGCCGGATGCCCTCGTCTGTCTTCTTCGCTGTGTCCTCGTGCAGGGCATTCATAGTGCCGTCCGTCTGTCTGCCTGTCTGTCTGTCTGTCTGTCTGTTTCTCGTCCTGTCTGGCCGTTAAAAAGCAAGCCAAGGCCTTGTGGTGGAGGAGGCGGCCTGCGGGCGGCTAGAACCCGGGGCCAGACGCGCAGCTGCCAGTGGGGTGAGAGCGGCTCCTCTCCTCGCCCCGCCGGGGCCTCTTGCTCCTGCATGCGCATGCACGAGGTGCCCCCCCGCCCCCCGAGTGCCGTCCAGCCCCGAGTGCATGGTGAGGTCCACTTGCAGCGAGAGGGGAGGAGGCTGACGAGCCCGGAAGGCTGCCCAGAGCGCCCCTCCCGGCTCTTTCCGGTGGCGCCCATGGTGATCCAGCCCCCGCCGTGCCTGCCGGGGGGAGGCCTTCTGCCTTCTTGGGTGTCAGTTGCCAGGTCTTGACAATCCCCGAAGCGTCAGGCATCCCGCCCGGCCCATCCGTAGCAAAGGGCCCTGCTGCCGCTCCCAGGCCGTCGCTTCCCGGGGTGGGCGCACGTGTTGGACGGAACGGCAGTCCCCCAGAGCCTGACCCCTCGGCCCTGCTTCCTGCAGGTTTCCTCAGGAACTCGCGGTCGGGAAGGTCAGCGCCGAAGTCATGTGGAACCTCTTTGCTCAGGACATGAAGTACGCCATGGAAGGTAAAGGCACCCGCTGCTTCCCATGGCTGCAGTGGCGTTCCCACCGCTCGGCGTTCTGTGGGATGGAGCCGCTTGGCAGCGGCTGCCGACGTCGCTGGCACGGAGCTAGGGGGGCGTTCCCGGGAAGCTCCGCCAAGCCCCCAAGCGGCCCGAAGGTGCCATGGTTCCGGCATCTCCAGTGGCGTGGTGCAGCAGAGCTTCCGTGGGCCGTCCGTCAGCTTGCTGCTTTCCGACGGGCGGGACGTGTCGTGTGGATGGAACCGTGGGGAGAGAGTCCCTGCCGCCTGCCATGCCGCCCAGCGGCTGCCCCTTCCCGTGCCTCTGGCCTCCGCCTGCCCTCCTGCCGCTGCGCAGGGTGGAAGCAGCCCCTTCCGGGAATCCTTCCGGGACCCGTGCCGGGCCCTTTCTGCAGGGGGCATCACAGACAGGGCACTCTGAGTTCCGGGACCCTTGGGTGGTGGCGTGTCTGCTCCCAGCCGTGGTTCGCAGTGCCCTGCAAGGCCATGTGTGGCGGGCTCAGTCCAGTCGGCCCTCCGCCGCCTCTGTACGTGGATTTGGCCTCTTTATCGATCTGTCGATATTCATTCTGCGGCCACAGCCCAGCAGCTGCCTCTTTCTGAGCACAAAACGGAAGAGCCAGTCTGTTCACTAGCAGAAGGGAACTCTGTTCCTTCGGGGCGGGGGAGAAGGCCCGTGGGGAGTCGTGGGTCTGCCGCCTGCCCTGTCGTGGGTCTGCTGCAGCACGGGGACCATTGCTCCAGACCCCAGGAGCTGAGGAGGATGGGCTGCCTGGTCGCAAAGGGCTTTGCGCTGGTCTGCACCAAGGCCCAGCCTGGGGCCGGGCTGGGCGGGCGTTCACAGTTCCCGGCCGGTGTAAGGGATCAGAACGATTCGGGCATCTTGGAAGAATTTTCCAACGAAAGCGAAGCAGTGGCAGGAAGGGCGCAGAACAGGCGGCCGACGCGGACGTGGCCACGAGCCCCGGTGCTGGGCATGCCCCCCGCCCGGCTCCTCTCCAAGCGTCCCTGGAGAAGCCCTCCAAAGCTTCCTGCTGCCTGTGGTCCTGGGGGCGGGGGCGGCTGCAGGATGCCCTGTTCCAGTTGCGGGGGATGGAGCTGGTCTTGCTGCCCCCTCTTTTCCTCTCAGATCGGCTGCCACCTCTGTCCTGCGCTCAAAACGGAGATTCTCCGATCTGCGGGGGGTAGTGGCTGCCCGGCACGGGTCTCCGGGTGTCGCTTCGGGCCCTTCGCTCTAGTCTCTGCCGGGGCTGCGGGGCGCCATCGCGCTCCTGTTTGGCGGCACCTGGACCAGGGCAGCGTGGTTGGCGTGGGACCGCCCAGCCTGCCCGCCGGAGGAGCCCGCCCTCCCCCCCCCCCGGGATGGGGCTCCGCCTGCGCCCCTAACGGCCTCTGTGCTTGCTTTTTGTTTGCTGCCTCGGTCGCCTCTTTAAGTTCTGGATCACATGAGCTCGCGCAAGGCCCCACGCGGTAAGAGACCCTCCTCCGCTGGGCCCGGGTGCGTCGCCAACCACTCCCCCAGCGGCCAGAGGGGCAAGGACCCCCCTCCCCTCCCCTCCCCTCCCCTCCCCTCCCCTCCCCTCCGCTGGAGTCGTGCTCAGCCTGGGGAGTCATGCGCTTATGCGCCGCGCCTTGGCCGGCTTCAGAAAGGGCCCTGGAGGGGCGAGCAGCCCAGCAGCAGTCGAGGGGTGAATCCGCCTTTGGAAGCAGCCGTGGCTGGCCGGCATGCCAGCCCCCGGGGCCCCTCTCCAGGCAGGCGCGTGGGCCGGGGTGCTGTTTGCATCGCCGGCCCCGCTTGGGAGCGCAGCCGCATCCCCCGTGAGTGCCCCCCACCGGCATGCCTGGTGCTTGCTGCCCGCTCCCCCCGGCTCAGCCCCGCATCCCCTGTCGCCACCTCTGAGGTGTCGGCGCCCCAGAGAGCGAGGGGGATAGGCGTCGTGAGATGGCCAGGTCTCAGCATGGCCTCAGCACCCACCCCACGCTTGAGCTGGCCCCTTTCGTGGGAGGGGGAGGGACCGAGGGACCTTTGCAGTGGGTCTGGAGCACGAAAACGGGTCTGTGTGTGGCCAGCCCCCCGAGGAGCGTGCCAGCTCCCCCTTTGCAGGAGGCGCCTGAGGCCGCCCAGTGGCTGGCAGGGCCTTTCAGGGAAGCCCCTCCAGGAGGTGTCCCCTCGAGCGACAAGGCAGGCAGGCAGGCAGGCAGGCTCCGGGGGGGCAGCAAGGGGCCCCCTGAGCCGCTCCACCGTGTTGGGCGTCGCGGGCAGCGCTCCGGGGCTCACCCGCCTCTCTCTCCTGCCAGAAGGGCCGCCCGTCTTCCGCATCCGCATGGTCTTCTTCTATGGCGGTAAGAGCCTCCTCCGCCGCCCGCTCTCGCTTCCTGGCTCCCGGTTCCGCAGTAGCCACGCGCCCTCGGCCAGGTAGTCGGAGATCCCAGGCGGCCGTCTGCGCCCGTAGGCCCTGCTTCCGCGCTCCCAAGCCTCCCGGCTGCCGGCCGCCCGGCTCGGGTGCCAGAGCCGCCCGCCACCCTGCTTCGCGGCTCCCCTGCAGCCCACCGTCTCGCGCGCAGCTTGCCCCCGGCTAGCGGCCCCCTCCCGGCTCGCCCTCGCGCTCGCCTTGCAGCACTTCGGGCCGCGCTTTTCCTCAGCCAGCCGCGGGAAGAGCCGTGGGTCGTCCGGAGACGCCGTCCCTGTCCTGAGAGCTGTGAGGCGGGCCCGGCGTGGACGTCCGAGCAGCCGAAGACCCCCGGGACCGCGCGCCCTCCGGTGCCAGCGCAGGCACTACCTGAGGAGCCTCTTTTGGAAACGCCCCCTCTTTTCCCGTCCAGTCTGCCGCGCGACCACTCGGGTGACCCCCCAGCCTGCTCCCCAGTCCCACGGGTCAGAGGCGCCCCTCTTCCCCCACGTTGCCTGGCTGGAGCCGTGGGCCTGGGCGCCAGCTTGACTCACGGCCCAGAGAAGCCGTGGCGTGAGCAGAGGATGTCCTGCGCTGCGGGGAGCTGCGTGGCCCCCGGGCCGGGACTCTGTCCTCCCTTTCGAAGCCGCTGCGCTCTGGGAGCTGGCTGTCGGGGGCTCCCCGCTTCCCAGAAGCGTCCGCATTGCTTGCCCTTGTCCTCCTCGAGGACAGCGAAAATCCTGGTTTTGTCCAGTGGGGGCACGGCAGCGCTCGCCCTCTGCTTCCCACGGGCCCCCTTTCAGCTTTGCCTTTCAGGGGTCTCAGGACAGCCCTGGAAATAGCTGCCAAAACAAGCGGCCCCCGAGGATTTCTGGGCCGCAGAGTTGCTCCCGGCTGCTTCAGTCCCTGTCAGAGGGGGAAGGGACCGTTCTCACTGCATCAAAGCCCCGGCTTGGCCCTGGCAGGGTCTGCCGCTCTCGGGAGGGGGCTCCCGCCACGTAGTGGGGAGGGGGTGCCATTCGGGAAGGAGGGGGCAACTGGGCGCCCCCCACACAGCCCCCACCTCCTCTCCATGACCCAGCTCTGCCCCCGGGAGGCAACCGGTGCGGTGCCCCTGCCCCAGCTGCGAGAGGGACGGGGCGGGGGCCGCCCTGCAGGGCTGTGGTTCCGGGTGGTCCCAGCTCTTTCCGGCCATGCTGGGGGGTCACACGGTTGTGTCTTTGGAATCGTGACTGGAAACGGGAACCAGCCACGGCCCCGAGTCCCGGGGCCCCGCACTGCCGGAGCGCAGCCCCTCCGGGCCTGGCCGGAGCCCAGCGAGGGCCTGGGGGGCTGCCAAGGGGTCCTGCCCCTTCCTGAGCTCATTTGGCGGGGGGGTAGCGTTGGGCCCCGGCGGCATCTGGGCCCTCGGACAGCGTTCTGGCGAAGAGCGGCCCCCTTTGTGCTGAGGGCCAGTCGTGCCCCGGCGGGGTGGGGCAGGGTGGAGCAGGGCAGGGGGAGTGGGGCTGGGCGGCAGCCCCCGGGCGTCCGTTGGGGGCCGGGACTTGTGGGCGGGGTCTGCCGGCCTCGCTGCCGTTTTCTAGCTCTGGATTGTGCGGAGAGAAGGGGCACAGATTTTAGGCAAAAAAGTGGGGAGAGGGGCATGGTGGGTTTTTGCGCGGGGCTCGTGCCGCCTGCTGGGGCTGCAGGTGAGTCCTGCGGGGCGCAGGTGGAGGCCGGCTGCTCCGGGCTGGGGGGGGCCGCCCAGACCTGGTGGCCTGTTTGCATTTCCTCCTTGCCGTTCTTGGGATGGAGCTGCAGGAGGGGCCCCGGCATCCTCGGGGCCCCCCCGTCCCTGCAGGGGCTGGAGCTGGGCCTGCTCCGCGTTGGCAGGGCTGCTCCCGCGCCCTGGCTCAGCCCCTGCCCTCACGTGGGGCCAGGCCATGGGACGCCTGGGACGTCTGAGGGGCCGGGCACGGGGGCACGGACAGCCCCCCCCCCAGACCACCCTCCCTCCTCTGCGTGGCCGGCCGAGGGGAGGCAGGGGTGCCGCAGCCACGCCATGCCTGGGATCCGCCGCCCGCCGCTGCCTCCTCTCACGTAGGAGATGCGGGTCGTCTCAGGAGCAGGAAGGCCCGAGCCACAAGAAACGGCTGCCACAACATCCCGCAACCGTCTGCTCCGTTTTTGAAGTGCCGGGTGAAAGGCAGCTCCAGGCCCCTTCCGGCCGGTCCGTCACCGGGAGTCGGATCGCGGCCAGCCGAGCTTCTGTGGGCTTGGCGTGTGGCGCCTCTGGCCGTGCAGCCCTGCGGGGCGGAGGCGCTCGTGTGCGGAGGGGGCCTCTCCGGACGGGGCTGCTCGCCCTGACAGGGTCATTCCCCCCCCCCCCCCGTTTCCTGCAGAGCACGAGAAGCACCGGCTGTGCAAGAGCGCCGACTACATGAACCTGCACTTCAAGGTGAAGTGGCTGTACAACGAGTACGTCTGCGGCCTGCCAGCCTTCAAGGGGACGGTGCCCGAGTACCCCGCGTGAGTGCCCAGCACCCCCGTCCTCGGGCCCCCTGCCCCCCGCGTCCCGGCGGGGCTTTCCTGGCGTGCTGCGCAGCGGATTCCCGGCCCTGGCCCCTGCTCCGCTGGCCCCCCTTCCTGTCGGCATCCCTGTCGGAACGGCGGGGGGGGGCACTCGCGGAGGCAGGTTGGAGCAAGAGGCCCCCTCCTCTGGGAGCAGCTCCCTGCGGAAAGTGTCCGTGTGGGCCCCGCGCTCGGTGCCACCCGCCGGGCCCTGCTCCCGTGGGCACAGGCGCTTGCACGAGGCGCTGGCGTGTGCTGCTGGTGGGGGCCGCGCCTGGGGCCGCCCCGTTCGGGATGAAATTAGATCCCAAGCAGTGGCGATACGGGAGGCAAAGTACCAAGCAGTAACACTTTAATACGTCCTTGCAAGAGCGGGCGCCCGCCGCACCGGCAGCGCGCCGTCTGCACACAAGGCCTTGCCTTGCATTCCCTTTCCCGGCTCGCAGACCCTGCCTCTCTTCTCCCACTGGCTGGGTCACTAAGAGGCCACGGTCTTCTCCATCCGCCTCCATCATAGCACTCCTTGATATGCTCCCCCTCCCGCTCATACGTCCCCCGTTCATGCTAATGAGCCCATTACCCATGAGAGGGGTGTCAGTTACTGTTCATGAACCTATTAAGTGTGCGCACTACCTTCTAAAAGATCAACAGGCTGGCTTGGCCTTGTAGCCTCTCGCTTGATGGGAGGATGAGATGGGAGAACAGCCTTCCTCCGAGCTCCTTACGGCCAGTTGTAAGAGGCCGTCCACTTCCTGCTCCCTTCCACAAAAGGGGACGGTTTTACCGCTGCCCCCCACCTCACCCCCTTGTGTTCGCCAGGACTTTGCTGTAAGAAGCACGATTGTTTTTGCTACAAGCCTCCCCGTGGTTCTGTCCCCGGGCCCTTTGGCCTTAAGAGGTCTCGGTGGCCTTCCCCAGCCCTTCATTTCATCCTTGCTTCAGTTTTCACCTTCCTGCTGTGGAGCAGTCATTTCCCATTTCTCACAGACCTTTCCAGGCCGTGGGGCCGGGCCAGCCTTCCAGCCCTTCCTTGGGGCACGAGGCCGTGGTCTGGGCACCGTTTCCCCCGTGCCAGGCAGGGAGTGAGGCGGCCGGTCCTGCCTGCTCTTGCTGCTGCAGAAGAGGCAGCGGAGGTCCAGCCCGTGGCCCCTGGTGCCGCAGGAAGCGGGCGTCTCGTAGCCCGGCGTGGCTGCCTCTATCCCCCGGCCGGCCGGCCACACGTGGGCAAGGGTTTCTTTCCGCCTTCCAGCACTGTGTGCCGAAGCCCCCCGGCCTGCTACCACGCAGAACGGGGGACCGGCCGGTGGCTGTGGCCTCCCGCCCTGGGCACCCCGAGCACTTCCATTCCGGAGCGTGAAGCGCTGTTTCAGGCTTCCCAGCGTGCCCTGGGCTTGCACTCCCCCCGCAGCCGTCTCTCACGTTCCTTGCAAATTTAAGCAGCCCATAATTAGCGCCGTTGCTATGAACTCGGCTGTTTGTGAAGAGTCGGGCCTCAGAGCACGGCGATGGCGCTGGGCTGCCCGTGGCCTCTCCCACCTCGGTGGCGAGCACGTCGCAGCGGCCGCCTCAAGGGAACGCTCTTCCTCGCAGTGGGCACGGGCCCTGGACCCCCTGCCAGGCGGGCCCCGTGGCTTGGTCCTGCCGGGAACTTGGGCTGTGCCCCCGGCCTGCTTTGCCGCTGAGCCCGCAGTGCGGAGAGCGGGACGCCCCAGGCCCTCCGGGGGTCTGGAAAGAAAGGCTCGGGTGCCGGGGGTTGTGGGTGCCATTCCCAGCAGCCTGCCCCTTTGCTGCATGTGGGGGGGGGGGGGGCTGGAGAGGGCTGCAAAGAGAGGAGGTGGGCCAGCCCAGACCACGCGCGTCGCGATGCCCCTTCATCGTCGGTGGAAGCCCCCGGAGCAGCGTGGAACTGCTCGCAGAAACCACAGGCTGAAATGCAATAAACCCTCCATGCAGCTTAGCAGCAGAAGCAGAAAACATTAAAAGTGGCTAGAGGCACCTGGGGAAGACCAGCTGTGCAAAGGCAGCCCGGGCGCTCCCCCGCGGCCTGGCAGCTGGGCATCTCTTCAGAGGCCGTGGCCCCAGGGCCTTCTCGGCCCGGCCATGCCCGCCGCCGGCCGTGCCCCTCGGGGAAGTGACACGGGAGGAGAGGCACCTCCCGGCCAGCTCCCGGCTGAGCTTTGCCCACCGGGCCGTTGTCAGGCCGGCCCACACGGTGGCTACTGGCGGCTCCCCCCGCGAGCTCACGCTGGGCGTCCAGGCAGGCTGTGCCGCGACCGTCTTGGCCGTCGCAGAGGCCGCAGGGACGACTGAGGCGCTTCCCGCCCTGGCTTCAGAGCTTGGCTTTGCGCACCCCCGGCGGGCCCTGTGGCGTCCTCCGGGAGGGTCGCTCGAAACAGTGCCGTCCATCCAAAGGCGGCCCACCGCCTCCCTGCCGGCAGCGCGCGGCCCGCAAAGCCAGGTGATGCCCGGGCGACGCGGCTGAGGAGCCGGGCCCCGTGGCCGTGCCCGGGCGCAGTTGCCGGAGGGTCGCGGGGAAGGCCGGGGGTGCCGAGGAGGGGAGCAGGGAGGGCGGCTGGAGGAGGCGCAGGGCAGGGGCGTGGGCGGCACAGCCGGGCGGATGTGCGAAGGGGGCGAGCGAGGAAGCGGGAGAGCCGAGCCGAGCGGAGGGCACGGGGAACTGTGGCTTGCAATGGGTGAGAAGGAGCGCCTCGCGCGGCGAGCTTTGGCTGCTGAGGGAAGTGCTCAAGGGCCCGGGAGGGATGCAGCGCCCAGTGGGTGGCGCTGCCGGCCGCCCCGCCGGTTCCGGAGTGGTGAGCTCTGCAGGCGCCCGTGTCCCGCCAGGCAGCCAGCCAAGCGGTGCCTCTCCTGCTCCCCGCGCAGCTGGTTCGAGCAGTTCGTGATGCAGTGGCTGGATGAGAACGAGGCCGTGTCCCTGGAGTTCCTGCACGGCGCCCTGCAGAGGGACAAGAAGGACGGGGTAGGTGGGGGCTGCCCGCCCCGGCGCCCGCCCAGCGGCCCTGGGGCGGGGGCGTCTTCCCAGCACGTGCAGCGACGCGGGACGAGCCTCTCGGCCCCCCAGGGAAGCTGTGGCAGCTCAGCTTGTCGGACCTGCCCGGCGTTGCAGCCAGGGTCTCGTGAGCAATGGCCCTGCCACCAGCCGCCCGGCCCCCGGCCCGCCCGCTTGGCCCCTGCTCCACTCGGGCCCTCGGTCACGGAGGGCAGGGCCGTGCTGGCCTCTCCCCGCGCCCCGACTGGCTTCCGCGGCCCTCGCTCCCCTGGCCCTGGCTCTCCCCGCAGCGGGCCGGCTGCTGGTGCCGGGCACGCGAAAGGCAGTGCGTGGCCTGTGCAGGTCGGCCGCTGGTGAGCTGGTGACGGCATTTCACCGAGCGCGAAGAGTGCCAAGGCCCCGCCGGGGCGCCCCTGCCCGTGGAGGCCGCAGCGTCCCGAGCAACGTCGGGACCGGCTCGGAGCTGGCACTGGGCTCGACCCCGGCCCCCCAGGCAGTGGGGGCATTTGAGGCACGGGGGCTGCAGCACGGGGTGGTGCTCAGTGCAGAGTGGAGAACGGCCACGCATGCGCTCGCTCAGAGGTGGAGTGTATGCTGCACACCAGGACGGTCGCCGGGCCCCGATCCACCAGAGCGACTGCCCCTGGCAGGCCTCGGCGACAGGGACGGGAAATGGTGGGGTCGGTGGCCCCGAGCCCTCCTGCGCGGCCGCGGGCAGAGACCGGGCGCTCCCGGGTGACCCCTGCCCCTTCGCCGGCAGTTCCAGCAGACCTCTGAGCACGCGCTCTTTTCCTGCTCGGTGGTGGACGTCTTCACCCAGCTCAACCAGAGCTTTGAGATCATCAAGAAGCTGGAGTGCCCCGACCCGGCCATCGTGGCCTGCTACATGCGGCGCTTTGCCAAGGTAATGGCCGGGGGGCCGGCGGGTGGGCGGGCCGGCCGGGGCTCCCGGCGAGGCCTCGGGGCCGCCCTCTGCCTCCGGCCCGCGTGAGGGCGGCTGAGGTGGCTGCTCTGCTCGCAGACCATCGGGAAGGTGCTGATGCGGTACGCCGACATCGTCTGCCGGGACTTCCAGGCCTCCTGCGCCAAGGAGAAGGTGGTGAGTGTCCCGGCCGGCCTCGGCCCCGGGCTGTGGCTTCCCGGGGGCGAGCGGGGAAGGTGCCTGCCCCCGTCTTGGCCGGCCTGGGCCGCCTCCGGAGCGGCCCCTGCTCCGGCGGGCTCGGCAGAGGCCCCGGCACCCCGCAGAGGGGGGCTCCCCCCAGTGGATGGTCCGGGTGCTCTGCCTGCCCCTTCCATGGGGGCGGTCGCTGAAGATGACGGGGCTCCTGGCCTCGCCCCACTGAGGCTGCCGCCCCATGTGCAGCGCCCCCCACGGAGAGGGGAAGGAGAGCGTGCCCGGTGACCAGACCCTGCCCTTCTCCCCGCCCAGCCCTGCATCCTGATGAACAACATCCAGCAGCTCAGGGTGCAGCTGGAGAAGATGTTCGAGGCCATGGGTGCAAAGGAGGTAAGAGCGCAGTGGGGGTGGGGCCAGCAGCCCCCTGCCCCGCGATCGGGGCCCCTGTTGCACGGCATGTGCACGCCGGCCCCTGTGCCGGAGGCGTGACCACGTCTTCCTGGCCGCCGCCAGCACTGCCTGTTCAGCTAGTTGGGGAGTGGGCTGCGTGGACCGCGGGCCAGAGGGCTCAGGGCCCTGGGGCGGGTGTGGGGCGGTGGGCAGTGGGGGAGGAAGGGCCCTGAGCCGGGGCACAGGAGCGCCCCCTTGCAGAGCGTGCCCCCAAGCGCGCCCTTCCAGAAGAGCTCGGCCGTTCGCGCGGCGGTCAGCGCCAGCGAGACGCCCCTGCTGCACGTGAGAGCAGGCGGGGGGCGGGCTGCGGCCGAGGTCGTCTTCCCGCAGCGACCCCCGAGCGGGGGCTTAGCAGGGCAGCGGCCTCCTCGCTTGGGGGCCACGGTGGGGTATCCGCCTGGCCTGCCCCCGTCCGAGCAGAGCTGCGGCCGGCCTGCGAGCGAGGCGGGACTTCGCCCTTCCGCTGATCCGGTGGGAAGCTGCTGCCGGGCTCCTGGGTCTAATCTGTCTGTCTGTCTGTCTGTCTGTCTATCTGTCTCCCTTGCTTTTCAAGACTGAGGATGGAGAAGAGGAGACGGGTCCTGAGGAGAAGGGCCCCAGAGCAGTTAGCGCCCGTTTTGCTCTCCTTTGGCCTTGCGGCGCTTCCCCCCAGCTGTCCCCGTAGCCCCCAGGCCGCGGCCCCAGTGCCCAGCGGGGGCGCCCCGGGGCAGGGTCACTGCGGCCGCCGGCACCGTGCCGGGAAGCGGCGGGGGCTGAGCCAGCAGCCTGCAGAGGAGGCGGAGGGGCGGGCAGCCCCCGGGCAGGCCTGCAGCCGGTGGCCCGAGCCCCCCTGCGCAGCTGCCCCCGCCCGCTGCCTCGCCGTGGCTTCGTGGCGCCCCCGCGGCACCCCCGCTGCGGCTTTTCCGCCCTGCTGGAATAGGCCTTACCCCGGCAGATGCAGCACAACCCGGGTGCTGCTCGGTGGCTTGGCTAGTGAGCGAGACCTTCGGCTCCGGTTTAGCCGCTGAGCCAGTGGCTAGAGGCTTGCGGCTCTCCTTGCCCTGGGCATCGTCCCCCCCCCGCCCTTGCCCGGCCCTTCCCGAGCCCCCGACAACGGCTCCTCCTCTGCGGTGTGTGGGGAGCGCCAACGCTGCTTTCCAGGCGTCCGCAGGCTGGCCGTGGGGGCGGTGGGGCTTGCGAGTCCCCAGCCTGGCTCCCCGGCCGAGTGCACAGGCTGGGCTGAACCCGGGGCTCGGTCGTGGCTGCAGGCAGCCCTGCCGTGGCCCGGCCCCGCCGTGCGTTGCTGGGCCGTGTGGACCCAGCAGGGACTAGCAGGCCCCCACGCCCCGGAGCGGCCCCCGTGCCAGCTGGGGGGTCTTTCTGGCAGATGAGGAAGGGCCGCAGGGACGGCCACGTGGCCGGGGACGGAGGCCCTGGATGCTGGCTTGCCAGGCCCGGCCCGGCCACGTGCCGCGTCTGGGGTCTGCAGCCGTTGCGCGAGGGGAGCCCTCCCCCGCGCCCTGCCGCCTTTCCGCCCCTTTTGGATGGGAGGCCTGGGGGCACAGAGGTGGGCCAGAGCCCAGGGGCGTGCGTCCGCTGGGGAGAGGACCTTGGAGGGGGGGCCATGGAGGCAGCCGCTGTGGCCAAAGCGGGGGGCTGCAGGGAGCCGTGGGGGGGCCGCTGTCCGTGCGCTTGCATCCTTTCCCGCCGCTTCGGCTCGTCCCTCACGCTGGTAGCCGCCAGTCCTGCTGCGGAGACCTGAGTGCCTGTCGCGCTGCCTGCTCCAGCTGCCTTAGGCTGCCTGCTCGGGTGGCCGCGATTTTCTCCCGTGCTCAGAGCAGGAACGTGCGCAACCACACGGTGGCCACCAAGACTCGACCTCCATGCACTCTCTGCATGCTTGCCTGGGGAAGTGGGGGGCTCTCCTCACTGGGGACACTCAGAGAGCCACTAGACGGTCACCTGAATGGGGCAGCATCTCTGGTGTCCTGCCCTGCGCACGGGGTGGACCCGGTGGCCCTCCGGCTTTCCCAGCTCTGCCGCGCCCTCATTTGGCCAGCCGCTGAGGAGCCTGCGGGGGTTGCACCCCCCCCCCCCGCTTGGGGGACCCCGTGGGCAGCTGGTTTGTAGCCCTTGGGGCTGACCCAGCAGGAGCACCCCCAGTCGAGCCGTGAAGAAGCAGCGGGGCCAGGGCGTCCTCTGGCCGGGGTCCCCAGCAGGTTGTCAGAGCACCGGGATGTGCTGAGCAAGCACACGCTTGCAGCTCCCTGATGCCCCCCCCCCTCGCCCCCGCAGCATCACAAGGAGGAATCCTCTCCACGGGGCCGCCGAGAAAGCCCCAGGCCCCGGCATCCGGCGCGGGGGCACGGGCAGCGTGGGGGGCGTGGGGGGCATGTGGCCCATGCAGCAGTGGGAGGGTGCGAAGGGCAGCCCAGCCCCCGCAGGTCCCCATTTTGGCTCCAGAGAGTGAGCCCGGCGTTCTGGGCTCTTTGCGGGCTCCCAGGGCAGGGCAGGGGGAGGGGGGCCTGAGTGGGCGGGGGGGGCGTAGCAGGCGAGCTCCTGGGGCCACCTGACTGTACTGGGCGGGCATCCTCTGGCCCCTGGGCCAAGCAGATGCGTGGGTGGAGGGCCCCCGGCAGCCCCTGCCACAGCACCGCGGCCCCTCGCCTCACCTCTGCCCTCGCTCTGCCCGCAGTTGGACGCCGAGGCCAGCGACGCCCTCAAGGAGCTGCAGGTGAAGCTCAACAGCGTCCTGGACGAGCTCAGCGCCATGTTTGGGGACAGGTGGGTGCGGGGGGCCCCCTCCTGGGAGGGCACATCCCCTCTTGCCTGACTCGGCGTCGCGAGAACCCCAGACCCTCTGGCACCGGACGCTGCCCTCCCGTCCTCGTGTGCAGGGCAATTGGGCAAGCGAGGAATGAGGACCCCCGCAATGCTCCCCCAGCACAACGGGGGTGCGCTCTGGGCCGCGAGAGCAGCCCAGGGCAGCGGTCGCCTCCTGGGGTCGTGCCACCCGGGCGCTGGGCTTCTGCTCGTGGGCCGAGCGCCCCTTCCATTCTAGCAGAACCCAGGAGACTGCGCGAAGTCGGCTCGCAGGCTGGCAGCTCCGCGGTCAGCCCAGCAGCTGGCGACATGCACGGCCCCGCGCCCCCTGCCCTGCGCCGTCGGGAAGGGGACGGTCCTCGGAACGGGAGGAGCAGAGCCGTGGCCAGGCCGGCCCCAAGGATGAGTGGCCGGAGCAGCCGTCCACGGCCCTCCGCCACGGACCCGCCAAGGGTGCTTGGCTTCCCCTCAGAGCCGCCACATCGGCACGGGCATGGGTGGGCCAGGGCTGCTTCTCCCGGATTGGGGCCCAGCCTGAGGGCGTGACTTGGGGGCCACGGAGGCCTGCTTGGGCCTCTGAAACACACGGGTCCCTCGGGGGCCAGCGCCCTTTGCAGCCAAGGTGACGCTTCCGTCCTGCAGAGACGCCGCTCGAGTTGTCGTGCGGGGCCCCTCATCCTGCCTCCCCCTTCCTCGCATTCCCCCACTCCTGAATAGCCAGGGCTCTTGCGGCAGTCCAGGCCGGCGATAAAATGCGACAAGGCCCTAAACGCACGGTGCAAAATGCGCCTTCCTGCTTGGGGGCGGTCGATGGCAGGGAAGGGGGCTGGCGGCATCGATGTGCCCGGGCGGGGGGCCTGGTCGCGGAGGTCACGCGGAGGGCTGATGCGCGGCCCCGGCTGCCCTCCAGCTTCCAGGCCCGGATCGAGGAGTGTGTCCGGCAGATGTCCGACATCCTGTGCCAGGTGAAAGGGGCGGGAAACGCCCCCCCGAACGCCGTGGCGCAAGACGCGGACAACGTCCTCCGGCCCCTGATGGACTTCCTGGACGGCAAGTAAGGAGACACGCCGGGGCAGAGGAGCCCCTGGTGGGAGGGCGGCCGGGGGCCGGGGGGCCGCCGGGGCACGGCAGGCAGGCCATGTGGCCCAGCAAGGCTCGCCTGGCGGCCCGCCCCCCACCCCGGCGGCAAGGCCATGCTGATGGGGCCGGCCGCTCGCCCCGCAGCCTGACGCTCTTCGCCGACGTGTGTGAGAAGACGGTGCTCAAGCGGGTGCTGAAGGACCTCTGGCGGGTGGTCATGAACTCGCTGGAGCGGATCATCGTGCTGCCACCCCTCTCGGACCATACGGTGCGTAACCGCCGCAGCCGCCCGTGGGGCGCGGGGCGCGGGCTGGGCCAGGCCGGGCCGGGCCGCTGACCAGCCGGTGCGCCGGGTCTGCCCCATGGCAGCGGCAAGAGCCTTGTCTCGCTCCTGGGAGCCCGTGGGGGTGCCTCCCCCCCCGAAAATGCTCCTGAGGCTGAGGGGGGGCCCGGGAAGCGTCCGGGAGGGTCGGCTCCTCTGGGGATGCTCCGGCACGGGGTGCGTGGGGCCGGGGTCCCCTCTTCCTTGAACGCGCTTCATGGTTGGGCAGGGCTGGCTGGAGCTCCCCCCCCAGGGACGGGGTGAGCGGCTCGGGCAGGCGGCCGGCCCAGGTGCTCCCCTCAAAAGGGCCCCCACAGACCGGCTGTGGCCCCCACCCCGTCTCCAGTGGAAGCGACGGCGGACGGGGAAGGGCCCAGGAAGCGTCCATGAGCCACCGTGGCCCAGAGGGGCCCTTGGCCTCGGCACCTGCCGGGGCAGCCACAGGGACCGTCCCGCCGCAAGGAGCTGGTGTGGCGGCTGCCCCAGCGCAGCCTCCCCTCCCGCGCTGGGGCCCTTCCTGGCCGGCTTCCTTCCTGCGAGTCCTGGGGATGCGCCCTCCGCCCTGTTCCTGAGGGCCACAGCTCTGGGGAGGGGGCTCCTCTGGGCCGGGTTGGGCCGGGCAGGCCGGTAGCAGCCCCTCCAGAAGGCGGGCTGAGTGGTGGGCAGGGACAGGCAGGTGGACTCCCCCACCCCAGCCCCTGAATGCAAGCGAGAGGCGCCGTGGGACATGGGCCCCTCGCTCCCCCAGCACCTTCTCTCTCTCGTGGGCTCGGCATGGGGAGGGGGCCTTTTCCGGCCAGGCTTGTGGCACCGCAAACCCTGCCTGGGGAGGCACTTGCTCCTGCCGGTGGGGGCCAGCAAGGGCCGTGGGCCTGGCAAGGGGCAGGCTGAGGCGTGGCCAGGGACGAGGCGCCCCAGGGGGCAGGGAGGCCCGCCTGCCCCGCCCCGGCCCCGGCCCATTCGAGTCCAGGCCCCCCGCATCTGCACCTGCTGGCGCAGCCCCATCGCTGGCCGTCCAGCCCCCACCCTGCAGCCTAGATTTGGCTTGGGCACACCAGGGTGGCGCATCCCGGCCGTCCCCGCGGTCCAGGCAGGTGGAGCAGGGCGGCTGTGCGGCACGACGCTTCCTGCAGGCAGGGAGCCCCCGCCCGCCCCTTCTCCCTTCCCGTCCACGTCCTCCAGGGACCGCTGCCTGCCTTCTTCCCGGGATCGCAGCTGCGCCTGGCCCTGGCCAGCCTTTGGGCGCTTCAGCCGGCCGGCCCTTGGGGGGCAGAGTGCCAGAGCAGGCGGGGCCCGGGCCTGATCCAGCAAGGGGATCTCCCAGCATGCTCCTTGCTCAGTGCCAGACCCGCAACGTGGGGAGCGTCCCCCCGGCGGAGGCTCCCCCCCACCTTAGACCACGGACGGCTTGTGGTGGGTGCGGTCTGGCCGCGGGCCGTGGGTCAAGGGTGCCCATGGGGGCCCCGGCTGCCCGCATGCAGGCCCCAGGGCAGAGTGGGAGCTGCCGGCGCCCACAGACATGTCTCGGCTCAGGGCGATAAATGCGCCCCCCCCGCAGCTGCCCCCACGCCCAGAGGAGGAGCCCCGGTGTGCTTCCCGGCAGCCGCAGGAGCCGCGGGCGGGCCAGCGAGCCGAGTGCCGAGCACTTTGGAGCGGAGGCAGCTCGAGGCGCTCCCTGTCCACTGCTCCCGGAGTGTGTCCAGCCTAGCGAGTCCGCCACGTTCAGGGGGCTCCCTGGATCAGCCCCCTCGCCCCCTGCGGAGCCCGAGTCCAGCAGCGTTTGGGGCCCACGTGAGCCCACAGCGGCCCCCGCCGAGCAGGTGGTGCTCACGGGGGGGGGGAGCTTTGCTCTGTATCAGGCCACAAAAAGCCCCTTTCAGGCTGCAGGGAAGCCCGAGGCCACCAAGCCGAGCCCCACGGGCCGCTTGCCGTCTCGCGGCAGCGTCTTTCGTCTGGCCCCTCGCTGGCTTCGAGGCGGCCGTTACGTTTCCTTGCTACTTCTGTGGCAGCCCTGAAAGCTGCCGCTGCTGCTGTGATCGATCTCATTTCTGCACGGCTCCCTTTGGCGCTGCTTTTTTCTCCTTGAAAGTGTGCGGGGCGGGAGCCGCATGGCCGTCCCTGCAAAGTCTTTGGCGGCCGGACCCCTGGGGCGCTTCGGCCGCTCGCGCCTTGCAGGTAACCTTTTCCCTTCTGTCTTTCTGCCTCCCCTGCGCCTCCCTCCTTAGGGGACCCAGCTGATTTTCAGTGCCGCCAAAGAACTGGGACATTTATCCAAGCTGAAGGTATGGGTATCAGCACCGGGAACGCAGCACCAGCGCACGCAGCCCACCTGCCCCCCCCGCCTGTGTCTGTGGTGTTTGCCGCAGTGTGCCCATGTTCGCTTTCGGTGCCGTGTCTGTCGCAACCGTAGCAAATGTGTTTGAGCCGCCGTCTTCTGTGTGCAGGCCGGGCCGGGATCAGGGCCCGGCTCCCCCGGCCATCAGTGCCGGCCACTTGGCTGCGGAAACCCATCGGGCCAGGACAGCGATGCCCACACGCCCAAGGAGCCCTCCCTGTGGTGCTGCGGGGCAGGTGCAGAGTGCCAAGAGCGGGAGGCGGTGGATCCCGTGGCGGGGCTCCCGGGATCCGGCTGTGGAAAACCGGCACCCGGGAGCCCTGGGGAAGGGGCCACCTTCTGGTGGAGCCGGCGCTCGGGGCACGAGCAGGGCCACCTTCGCAGCGAAGCCACTCGAGTGTTGGCAGCCAGTGCCAGTGCCAGCGCTCGAATTGTGCCCAGACCCCCCGGTGGCTCGTGGCGTTCTTTAGGCACTGGCGGGATGCGCCCGGCGCGGCTGCAGGGGCTCACCAGTGGCAGCCCTCGCGTGTTCTGCGAGCGCCGCTGGCGGGTGGAAGGCCGTTGTGCTGCTGACTCCAGGCACATCTGCTCTGGCTGGCAGCCGCTCACCAGCGGCCGGGCAGGAGCCCTTCCCGGCCTGCCCACAGGGCCGGGCACGTGCCCGGGACTCGCACCGCCTTGGGTGTGCTCGGCTTCCCGGCCACGGCTTGATAGCCAAGAGGGACCAGCGCAATCTGGGTCCGGTGGCCGCACCGCAAACCGCGTGCCGCGCAGGGGCACAGACCAGGGATCCTGAGGAGCTCTGGGACCCCCTCCCGCGCCCCACCACTGTGCCAGGCCGACCCTGAAAGGGGGGGGCCCCCCCCCCCCCCGCACTCCCTTTGCTCGCTCGTGCAGACGCGCCCGCTCAGCTCCCTACAGCTTCTCTGGGCAGGGCTGAAAAGGCACGGTCTGCGGCCCCGGAGAACCTTTGCTGCCGGTCTGTGCGAGCTGCGCTGGGCCCAGTGGGGCAGGGCGCTGGCTCAGGCCCACAGCCACCACCAGCACCCGTGCTGCCAAGCCGGCAAGCTGCTTTGGATTAACAGACGGGCGGGCGTGTGACACGCCGTGATGGCTCTCGGGAAGGGCACCCGTGGCGCGCTCGGTGCCAGTGAGAGATGGGCCCAGCAGCCGTGCTCCGAGCAGTCCCCTCGTCACACGCTCCAGAAGCGCCAGCACACGCCTGCCTGAGCCAGGTTTCCCCCCCGCGGGAGCGCTGGCCCCCCATCCTGGGCTCGGCGGGGAAAGGAGCTCGCTGAGCCCAGCCTGCCTGGACGTGGGGGCTCAGACAGAGGAGCGGAGCTGGAAGGGCCGGGGCCACCGGGGCCACCCCCGCTCAGTGCCGGACTCCTGGTTCAGGCATCCCCTCTGACGGAGGGCCCGCTGCATCCCGACGGCCTCCCGTGTGGGCGAGCCCCCCGCCTCCCTGGGCCATCGGTTCCATGGCTGTCCTGCTCGAACGGTCCGGAAATTTTTCCTGATGAAAGCAGAATCGGGCTTCCTTCTGCTGGAGCCCATTGTTCTGTGCCCTGCGCTCTGGGGAGGCCGAGGGGCCACCCGGCCCTCCTCTGTGGCAGCTGTTTGGAGTGCCTCCCGCTCTCCCCGCAGCCTTCCCTTCTCCAGGCTGAACACGCCCCGCTCTTTCCATCTCCTCACAGGCCTTGTTTCTCATCCCCGGCTCCTCCTGGCGGCCCTCCTCTGATCCCTTCCCAGCTCGTCCGCCTCTTTCTTCCGCTGTGGTGCCAGAAGTGGGCACCACACGCCAGATGGGCGCTAACTTGCCATGGCAAAGCTTGGATCTGGGGGCACCACCAAGGCGCCTTGACGGGACCGGCCTCTCAGCAGGCCCCTCTTCTGGTCGGGATGGCGCCCTCATGGGCTGCGTCTCGGCCCCCCGTGGCCCTTTCCTGGGTTCAGCACGTCCTCCATCGTCCAGACTTGCACGTGGACGCCGTTTGCGTGCTGACACGCCCCGCCCCAAGTCCCCGGGGCCACATGGACCTGCGCAAGGGCCTGAGGGCGAGGGGGAGCCAGCAGGGCCCTGTGGGACGGGCGCCGTTTCGCCCCGCGGCCCTCAGGCAGGGCATGCAGGCCCGCCTGGCCACCTTCCCGCTGCCCAGGCCTTGTGCCTGCAGAACGGAGGAGCCTCGGCTGGCACGCTGAGGCGCACGGCCAGCACAGGGGGCCCGATCCCTGGCGCACTCCCCGCTGCAGCGCATGGCTCCCTGGGGTTGCACGGGGTCCCTTGCTGCCATGCAGGCGTTTCCCGGGCCCGGGGAAACCATCCCGCACATGCACGGTAGTTCGGCCTGGAGTGCCGCTGACGGGAGGGGGCGCGGGACGGAGGGGAGGGGGCGAGTCGCTCGGGGAGGCCGGGCGAGGAGCCGGGGGGCGCCACTGCTTCAGGCCGTGCTGCACCGAGGGAGCCGCACCACACGTTAGCTGGATTCAGAGCGCCCTTGTGCCCGGCGCTGCCGTCGGAAACGGCCTCCAGGTCACATCCGCGGGGCAGGGGAGGCGGACTGCAGCCGTTCATCGGTCTGTCCCACGTGCCAGGCGTGGGGTAGGATTTGCGCAAGCACCCACCCCAGCACCGCCCAGGGTGGCCGCAGTGCCTGCCGAGGGTTAGGGTTCGGGCTAGGGCGGTGGCCGTGGGGGAAGGTGCCCCGGAGCCCCGGAATGCTCTGGGGGGCGGTGAGCCCCCGCGTGCCAAGCGACACCCGGACCCTCCCGAGTTGCGGCGCCTGTGCTGCTGGGCAGGGGCTGCCTGTGCGCAGCGCTCTCCCATCGTGCGCAGAGAGGCGCCCGGCCAGCTGCCCGGCCCAGAGCGATGAGGTCAGCAGGGCCGGCCTGGTCGCTTCCCGGCAGGCAGCGTGGCAGGACTGGCACCGATCGGCACGCCCGTCCTGCCTCTCTTCCTGGAGGCGTCTGGATCTGGGCATCGTTCTAGCTGAGGGGATGCACCCCCCCCCCGTTCCGTGGCTCTTGCACACCCTCCGGGCTGCCTCTGGTCACAGCCGCTTGTGCTCCCACCCTCCGCACGCTTCTCGCAGCCACGCTGTGCCCCGATGCCCCCAACCCCGCCTCGAGTCCCCCGTGCCTTGCCTCCGTCACTGCCGCGAGCCCCGGCCAGGTGCCCCACCTGCCGCCTGCCCCACGTCGTGCTCACGGCGGCTTCTCTTTCAGGACCACATGGTCCGGGAGGAGACGCGGAGCCTCACCCCGAAGCAGTGCGCCGTGCTGGAGCTGTCGCTGGACACGATCAAGGTGAGCGGGTGGCCCCCCGGGCGCACGCGGAGGCCACCCCTGCAGGAGGCCAGGCGGGAAGCGCCCTGGCAGCACGTAGGCGCCCCGGCGTTCAGAACAGCTGAAGCGCGCTCGGCACACGTCGCTGCTGAACAAATCCTGCGGAGACGCCATCCTTCTCGCCCCCAGTTCAGTCCACGAGAAGGTGGTGATTCTATCCGTGAACAGAAGTGCGGAGGATGCCCCTTGGCCAGGGGAGGGGCCTCTCCCCGCAGCCCCCCCCCCCGGAGCGCCAGCCAGAGGCTGCAGCCAGCCGCTTTCCCTCCCACCAAGCTCCGGCGTCACCCGGGGGCAGCAGGAGGTGGCAGAGAGTCTGCGGGGAGGCTGCTAAAGGGAGGCAGGGGCCGGGGCGTTCGGGCAGGGCCTTCATCCGGGAGGGACAGGAGAGGGGTCCCGGCCCCCCACCCGCATCCCGGGTGCTTCTGGGACGCTCCAGAGGGTGCCCCAGCTGCCTCTCGCCCCCGCAGCAATACTTCCACGCTGGCGGAAACGGCCTGAAGAAGGCCTTCCTGGAGAAGAGTGCGGACCTGCAGTCGCTGCGCTACGCCCTGTCCCTCTACACGCAGACCACCGACACGCTCATCAAGACCTTCGTGCAGACGCAGACGGCGCAAGGTGGGGGCTGGCCGGGGGGGGGCAGCTGGGACTCCGGGCCCTGGGGGGCCGCCCTCGGCACGGGGACTGCGTGAGCCGCGCTCGGACGAAGAAGCGGGCCGTACAGGGGGGCGTGCGCAGCCGCCTTGCGTGTCCGGGGAGGGGTCTGCTCAGCCCCAGGAAGCCTCCCTGGCGGGGGGCTGCAGCCCCCGGGGCCCTGGCCCAGGCAGGGCACATGGCCAGTCACCGGAGCAGTGCCAACATCCCCAGGCGAGGCTGGCGAGGGCTGGCCGGGGGCCAGGCAGGGTCCGACGCCCTGGAGGGCTCCTTCCTCCTGCTGCCCGCGGGGCAGCGATGGGGCCGGGGACGCTGCGCACGGGGCCCCGGCTCCTCGCGCCCCTGCCCGGGGCACAGCCGGTCTGGCAGCGACCAAGAGGCATGGCCCGAGTGGCAGCCCTGCCATCCCCTTTTGGGTGGGCTGCGGCTCTGCGGGGGCCAAACAGGCTGGCCCAGGCCCTGGATGGGGGCACGGCTGCCCCCTCCCGTCCCAGGAGTGCTGCAGGCCCGCTTTGCTCCCCGGAAAGCCCTGGCAGCTCCGGCTTTGCTTCCAGCGGCCAGGCGAGGGGGCGGCGCGGCACGTGCCGCCTCGGGGCTGGAGCCTCGCCCCAGGCACCGGCAGGGCGGCAGCTCACGCGGGAGCGCCCGGCACCGCTTCCCCGCACGTTCCCCGGAGGCCCCGGGCGAGGGCGCGTCCCGCCACCCCGTTCCCCGTGGCTCAGGTCCGCAGAGGGGGCCGCCCTCCAGGGGCTTCAGCCTTCAGGGCTCCCCTGCCGGCCCCAAACGCAGGGCGGGGCCCGGCGCTCCCAGGCACCCTCGCGCCGCCCCGGCGAGCCTCCCGCCGCTCCTCTGCGCCCACGTGGACGGCCGAGGCCCCGGAGCGCCGTGGCAGGCTGAACGGTAACCGGCCCTCTCTCTCTCTGCCCCCTGCTGCTTCCCAGTGCATGGTGGGAAAGGTGTTAGGCACACGGCTCACGAGGATGTCCGTCCTGCGGAGGGTACGTGCCCGGCCAGTGCCGCCCCGAAGGCGCTGGCCAGCGCGAGCGTGCTGTGCCCGTGCCCCCGCGCCCCCCGGCTCCCCAGGCCTTCCCTTCCCGCCCGGGGCTCGGGCTTCTTCGCGTGTGGCGGGGCAGCTGGCCCGATCCCGGCCCCCCGGCTCCCGAGGGCTGAGCGAAGGGCACGAAGAGGCGGCCCGAAGGGGGCTCACGCAGCGCCCCCCCGGCAGAAAGGCGTCGCACTTCCGGGGCGGTCGCCGTCCCCGGCCCCACTCCCCACCCGCCCTTGCGGCTGACTCGAAGGGGTCTGGAGCCGGTAGGGCCTGCAGGGAAACTGCGCCGTCGTTCCAGAGGCTCCCTGCTCTTGCCACGGCCCCCGCCAGGCCCGGCCGTGGGAGCATAGTGGCCTCCCCAGGGTGGCGATCTTGTGCGGGTCATGGAGCTCTGCACCCGGAGGCCCGTGGGCCGGCTGCTCCTCCGTGCTGGTGGTCGAGCAGCTGCCTCCACGAGCGGGACGGTGCCGGGGGGCAGGCCGGCCTCCCTCCCACGAGCAGCGCCCCCCCCCCCCGCTGTGCTCGACGTCAGCGGAGCACAGAAACACCTGGGCGGTCTGAGCAGGTGGGGGGAAGGACGGGGCGTGACCTGCGGGCGGCACCGGCAGCGGGCGCTCTTGAAGGGAAAGGCGGGGGGTGCGAACGGGCTGTCTGGCCGGAGGGCTCCCCGGGGGGGCAGCCAAAAGCAGAACTTAAAATGCGACCCCCCAGGGGAGGGGGAGGTCACCGAGGAAGGGAGCGCGGAGGGAGGGCTCTGCCCCCGAGCCAGCGGGGGCCGCTCCAGTGCGGGGGGCCGGGGGCACGGCTCCGCTGCCGGGTCTCAGCGCCGGTCGCCGCTCCCTCAGGCTCAGGTGTGGACGACCCCGTGGGCGAAGTGTCCGTTCAGATCGACCTCTACACGCACCCGGGCACCGGGGAGCACAAGGTCACCGTGAAAGGTAAGCCCCTCGCCCCGCCCGGGGAGGGTCTCGGGGGCCGCTGCCCGGCCCCTCTCAGGCCGCCCTGCCTGCCCACGCGCCCAGCCCCTGCCGCCAGTGGGCGCCCGCTCGCAGCAGGGGCGGGCGGGGGCCCGGGGGAACCCCACCCCCAGCCCCCCGGCCCTGCTCCGCCCGGGGGCCGTGCCACTGAGCCGCCCCCTGCCGCCCGCAGTGGTGGCCGCCAACGACCTGAAGTGGCAGACCTCGGGCATGTTCCGGCCCTTCGCGGAGGTGACCATGATCGGCCCGCACCAGAGCGACAAGAGGCGCCGCTTCGCCACCAAGTCCAAGAGCAACACCTGGGCGCCCAAGTACAACGAGACCTTCCACTTGTGAGTCCCCCGCCCCCTCCTCCCGCCGCCCTGCGCCGTGCCCCCGGCCCGGCCCGGCCCGGCCCTGCCGGGAGCCCCCTCGGGCCCCTCACGAGCCCCTCACGAGGCCCCTCTGGCCCCCTGCGCAGCATCCTGGGCAACGAGGACGGGCCCGACGCCTACGAGCTGCAGCTGTGCGTGAAGGACTACTGCTTCGCCCGCGAGGACCGCGTGCTGGGCATCGCCGTGGTGCAGCTCCGGGACGTGGCCGACAAGGGTAGCTGCGCCTGCTGGTGCCCCCTGGGGCGCCGGGTGCACATGGACGAGACGGGGCTCACCATCCTGCGCATCCTCTCGCAGCGGGCCAACGACGAGGTGGCCAAGGAGTTCGTCCGACTCAAGTCCGAGTCCCGCGCGGCGGAGGAGGGGAGCTGAGCCCACCCGTCCCCCGCGCATTGCGCCGCTCGTGCCAATCCACGCACCACGCGCCCCCACGGCGCGCCCTCCTGCCTCCCGGGAGGAGCGCCCCCGGAGGCTGGGGGGCCCTGCAGGCCGTGGGGCTTGGCGGGGGAAGGCAGAGCCTCTGGGCGAGGCGGCGAGACCGCCGTGGGTCCCACGCCTACGCTGGGGTGGTCCCCGGGAGCTGGTGGGGTGCAGCTGGAGGTGTGGCCCTCGGGGAGGCTGGCAGCTCGCCTGAGCCCAGCTCAGCCCTCCAGGCCGGGGGCTGAGGGCGGGCCGGGGCCGGGGGTGCCTTGTCTCTGATCCTGGCCCTTGGGGCCCCCGCTTGGCTCCCGCCCGTGGTGGGGGAGGGCAGGGCAGGGCAGGGCAGGGTGCCTGTTTGCGACCCAGAGCGTTGGTGGCCTGGGGCCGGCAGCAGCCTGCGGTCAGCCCGCTCGCCCAGAACTTGGCCACGGCTGGGCCGCCCGGCTCCACAGTTTGCGGCACGGCTCTGGGTGCCCTCAGGGCTGGCCTGCCGGAGCTTTGCCACCCCCACCGAGCAGGCGGGCCCCGGCCCACGAATCCCCGTGGCCACCCCGGCACGGCCCTCCTGCGGGCCCTTTCTGGTGCCACACCATCGTTGCCCTGGTGGGAGCGTCTCTTCTCCTCTGTGCTGCTCCCCCACTCCCCGCCCCCCCCAGCGTCGCTACTGGGCACACGGCGAGGAGGGTGGCCCCCGGAAACGACTTGCACTAGGCTGCAGGAGCCCCCGCCCGGCCGCCCATGCCGATCCTCGGCTGCTGGGTGGGTCGGCCCGGTCCAGTCCTCGCACAGCCCGTCCCGCCGCCGTCCCGGTGACGACCCGTTTTTCTACTCTCCTCCTGGCACCCGCGTGGCCACGAGTGCGGTGCCGCCTCGCCATTCTTCCGCCTGCCCTCGGACTCCCCGTAGCGGCTGTCAGCGGACGTGACCTTGAAGTGGTCTCCAGATCACGCAGAGCTTTAGCGACCCCTTTCCTCCTCGCTGTTCAATGTGCCACCACTGCGGACGCGGCCTGTGTAGCCTCCAATAAAGGGTCTCCCAGCAGCACTCGCCGCCTGAGCATCTTCCTCTGTCTGACGGTGTGCCTGGGGGGCGGGGAGGCCCTGTGCCCGGCCGTGCCCTTGGTCCAAAGGAGGGGGGCAGGCCCGGTGCGGTCGCTCGCCTCAGTCCCATGCAGCCTCCGCTGAGTACGGGGGCGGCTCCTCTGCCTCGGGGCACCTGGCACAGCGCTGGAGCCGATGCCTCCCGTGACGCTCCCAAGGGGTGTCCCAGGGCAGGGCAGAAGGCCAGAAGCCTCTCCCGGGTGGCCAGTTGCTGTCCCTCCGGGCGCTTTAACCTCGAACTGTTGTCGTCCCTTGCGGCTGGTGAGGCCGAGGAAATCCGCAACAGGCTCATCTCGAGGGATCGAGCCGGTGGACTGGTGCGGATCCCACGGACGTGCGGCCTGCTTTTCCCTAACGTTGAGGGGGAGGTGCGAGCTCTTCCGCCCGCGTGTGCAGTGGCCCATGCCCACACCTGCAGCAGTGCGGTTGGACAGTGGGCAGGCGGCGCTCTGGCCAGGAAGCCCAAAAGCCTGGCACGCGCCTTCACACGCGGGGTGCAGACACGGCCTCTAACGCTGGACCAAACGCAGCCATCAGGGCTAGTTGCCCCCGAGGGCCGTTCGGCCTGCCTGCCGTCACCACCTCATGTGATTGCAACGTCCACGCATTACCGGTTCTCCGCGGAAGGCCGAGGTCCCGGGAGGGGATTCCTGGGCAGGTGGGCCAGCGCCTGGCCCGCGTCTGTCCCGGCGGCCTGCACGTTGAGCCCTTCCGGGCAGCGCCTTCCTGCGCGTTCACCTCCTGGCGGGCCGGAGCCCCCGCCTCGCACACCAGCTGAGCGAGGCCCAAGCGGCGCCAGGCGGCTTCCTCCTCGCCCCGCGGCATCCAGCTGGCCGAGGAGATGCCAGTCGCTCGTGGTGCGGGAGGCAGGGTCCACGCCGGGGGTGACGGGTGTGCGGGCGCCCATGCTGAGTGCTGCGTTAAAAATGGAGAACCGCTCCTGCTGCACCTGTGGGACCGAAGGCTTCGGGCTTCTGGGCGGGGGTTTGGTGAGAGGCAGCCCCCAAGTGGCGGCTTGCTGGGTGGGGGTGCCGAACGTGGCCCGTAGTAAAGCGAGCCGTGTCCGTGGGCCGAGTCCCGGCTGGAATTTCGCCGCTGGAGGCTTTTACCAACTAGTGCCAAGAACGTGTGCCGTGATGCAAGGCAGCCAAAGGGCCTGCAATGCGCTTCCCCGAGGGAGGGAGGGAGGAGGCAGTGGGGGCCGCAGGGAGCGAAAAGGAGGGGTCCTTCAGCAGGAGCTCCCCCGGAACCGGCCGGGCTGCCGGCCAGAGCCACAAGCTGCCTGCACTGACCCTCCTCTGGTCAGCCCCGACAGCCTTCTGGACAGCAGCCACCCTCCTCGCTTGCGCTGTAATCGAGCGACGCGGCAACAGTGAGATTTTCTCCACCTGAATAATTGAACAGCCCCGCTGGTGACCGCCGGGCGGCCCTGAGCTCTCCCTCGGGAAGAGCCCCGGGAGGCTCCGGCGGAGAACTCCTGTCCTCGCAGAAGGTGGCTGGAGCTGCGCTTTGCACCTGATGTGGAAGGAGGCGTCTTGGAACCGGTTGCCCGATTCAGCCGTTTCTGAGGTTGCCGCCCTGGTCCGACCTGTGTTATCGTCTAGCAAATCCCTTTCTGAAATGATTCCGCATCCCAGTCGTGACCGAGGCGTTCGTTGTGCTGCGTGTGCTGCCGCCAGGCTGTCGGGACAGGCCGCCAAGAGAACCGCGGAAACTCGGCGGAAGGATTGCGGTGCAGCGGGAAGGACTTCGGTGCCAGACGCCTGGCGCGGCGGCAGGGCAAGCCGCTTGCCCACCCGTCCCTGCGGCTCTGAGAAGGCTTGGAGGGCCCGGGAAGGACACGCAGGGGGGCTGTCCTGGGCACCCCCCGCCTCGCCCTGCCCTCCTGCATAGAAACACCACGCTCGGCCGGCCCTGGCGCTTCCTCCATGTTGTCCACTGGGATGCCACTAACGTACACACACGCACACACGCACGTGTGCACTCCAGATGTGTTTGACAGTGGAGCCTCCAGCCCAGACAAGGCAGCCTTTGGGGCCTCAGCCCGGAAAGGGCGGACTGCCGCCCTCCCGCTGCCCCGGGGGCCGTGCGGGACGGACCCTCCGGCAGGGTCCCCCGATGGGGCCTTTGCCCCAGTCGGCAGCCGCCTCCTGCGCGGCCGTGCTGTGCAGTGGGAGCGGCTCAGACCCGAGGGCCTTCCCGCCCCATTCCGGCCCTGCTCTGCTCGGATGTTAGGACTGGAATTCCCCCATCGGCTCTTTGGTGGGCAGCTTGCTTCATGCCACCCCCAGGAACTGAGCGTACGTTTGCCTAGCTGGGCTTCTACAAAGATGGTGCTTCTCTGAATTCTTTGTGTGATCAATTTCACAGATGGCCAGCACAAGGCATGGCAAAGAACCGACCCAGTCCTAATTCATAAATTGCATTTGTTTTCAGTTCAACAGACTGCTTTTAAGACCGTGCCTTACTTGAATTTTCAGTAATAAAGAAAGCTAAAACTAAATATAGCCAAGCATGCACCTGGATTTCAACAAAAGCCAACTTTAGAGCAAGGATCAACAAGCCCAAGAAGGGTGGGGTCTCTTCTCAAAAAGAAACGCATCAGGCACAGCTACCCACAATCCCAACAAGGAGAAAGAGCAGTTGGCAACAGAGGAAGCCCATGCGGATGATCTGAACATGACAAAGGGCATGTAAAAGAGGTGGAAGGAAGGCCAGGCTACGAAGGAAGGATATAAGCAAGTAGCACGGAGCTGCCAAGATGAGCGGCGGCTGGCAAGGGGAGTGAAAAGCGATGGAAAACCCTCCGTCAAATGCGCCCGGAGCAAAAGACGAATGGGAGTGAAGGGAGTTCAGCTGCTCACAACAGATGACAAAGAAAAGGCAGAAGTCCCCACTCCTATGTTGGCTCAATCGTCTCCCAGAAGGAGGACTACAACCTTCCTGACGAAGGCATTGTACAAACCGAGGTGGCAGGAGGGCAGCCCAAGCCTGGCAGGCAAATGGTCAGGGACCTTCCAACAATGAGTTCAGCTCTCCATGGCCCCATGAGTCTTGCCAAGAATATCAAGAGCAACAGAAAGGGCTTCTTTCAGCATGTAAATAGGAAGAGGAAGGGGAGGCAAGTGGTGGGACCACTAAATGAGGAAGGGGATCCAGTGACTGATGTGAGGGAACAGGCACAGATGCTAAATGACTATTTTGCCTCTGTGTTCTCCCCAAAGCAGGACAGGGGATATCTGCACAGGAGATTAGATGAGGCTGGGGACTTAGGGGCACAGATTAGAGTCACCCCCCTTGAAGTTGAGGGGCTCCTCAGGGCATTGGACATTACAAAGGCTCCAGGCCCTGACGGGTTACACCCGAGAGGACTTCGAGAGTTGGCAGGGGTTCTCTCACGCCCACTGGCCTCCATTTTTGAGGCCTCGTGGAGAACGGGTGAAGTTCCAGAGGACTGGAGGCATCAGTGGTCCCAATTTTCAAAAAGGGTGGTAGAAGGGACATGGGGAATTACAGACCAGTTAGCCTTACGTCCATTGTAGGAAAAACAATGGAAAGGCTCATAATAGCGAGAGATCTAGTGATGCTAGATAGGGAAGGGAGGCTGGCAGCCACACAACACGGCTCCCGCAAAAACAGGTCCTGCCAGACAAACCTTGTGGAATTCTATGACAAGGTTTCACGATGGCTGGATGGAGGGGATGCAGTGGATGTGGTTTCCCTGGATTTCAGCAAGGCCTTTGGCAAAGTGCCCCATGATATCCTGGTGTAGAAACTGAGGAGTTTTGGGATACACCAAAGCACTGTCCGGTGGATTAGGGCATGGTTGACTGACCGAAAGCAGAAGGTAACCATTAGCGGGGAATCATCGGGATGGCGGCCAGTGACAAGCGGGGTCCCCCAGGGCTCTGTCCTGGGACCGATCCTGTTCAATCTTTTCATCAGTGACCTGGGGGGGGGGGTGAGAAGTCTGCTGGTCAAATTCGCAGATGACACTAAGAGGCCACAACTGAGGAGCAGGTACTTTGGATCCAGAAGGATCTGGACAGGCTGTGGAAGTGGGCAGAATTCACTAAGTGTAACAAGGTACTCCTGTACTTCCTTTTAACTTATTTTGAGCTTCAATTCCTTCCCCTCCTCGTTTACTCTGTTTTTGCTTGGCTGACCACAGCTTCCTTTGTGTGAGAAGACTGAACAGCTCAGCCTTCTCGCTGTTGCCTGTTAGCATTTATCCATCTTCTCGTGATAACAGACACCCCACTTCCTTGTTCTGCTGCTTGTTCTGAGCACAGCGTACGCACACGCACACACAGAGAGAACTTTTGCTATTTTATCACTATCCCTCGAGATCTGTGCTTATTCTGAACTTCAGACCTTCAGACGCTTGCAAGTTCGGTTACTCATTGGTTGCTTTTATCTCAGCATCTCGCCCTGCCCTGCCTTTGCTGAAGCACATCCCTTTGAAGTGTGAGTAGTCGGAAGGTGCCTTGTGCACCCAGCCCGATTTCTCAGGCGGCCCCCTTCCCTTTCTTGCTCCGTGGGGCCGGTCGCTTTCCAGGCGTGAGGCACTCCCATGGCTTGGCTGCAGCGCTTCCTTGAGGATGCTGCCTCTCCCAAAGGTCAGGGCGTGCACTTAAAATGCCGGCTTTTCTTGTTCTCGGTATCGTGAATCACAAGATGATGTGGTCACTTCCAGCAAAGTCTCCCCGTGTTCACTTCATAAACCCGATTTCCCTCTGTTGGCAAAGAGCCCCCGTCGCTTTCTGGAAGACGGCATCGGCAGAAAGGCCAGCCTGGAACAGGCGAGACGGCAGCTGGGCCCGACTCCCAGCGGTATCTGTACCGGGCATCTCCAGGCACGACTCGGTCTCCCCCTTGGGGAGCCTGCCCAGCAGTCCTGGGAGAGCCCCCGCCAGGCTGCCTGTCCGGCTCGGGGTTAGGGTTAGGGTTTCACGGAATTGATACCTTCCGCTCCCCCAGATGCCCCCACGGCTCCTCGGTGCGCCCCGGTCCTTGCGTTCTTCTCTCTGCCCGCTCAGTCATCTCTTCGGCGTGCCTGAGGGACTTCTGCCTTGGATCGTCAGAGTTCGGCAGGGCCTTCTCGGATTCCCATCCCATGCCCATCCTCTTTAAGTTCAGGTACTCTGCGTGGTGTCACAGGGACCTGTTAGCTCCACCATTTTAGGACTGCCGTGGCGTACACAAAATCATAGTTAATGCGGCAAGGCAGGAAACGGCCACGCAGAGTCACACGCTTCAAAACTACCCCGGAGGTGGGACAGCTGCGGGGAGCTTTGGGACTGGCTGGGCAGTATGGAAACGAAATGAAGGCCCGCCTCGCAACACCCCTGCGGCCCCGGAAGGGCCTTCGCCGCTGACCGAGGCTCGGGGGAGGCCCGGCGGCCCTGTGGTGTGCGCTCGACAAGGGGACAGGCATCTGGTGTGGCGCACGGGCGGGGGGGGGCTTCCTGCGGCAGCTCTGGTGGGCTTGGCCGGTGTCCGGGGCTGCAGCGGGTTCTACAGCGGCCCTCCCATAACACGATGCCGGTGTTTGAACACGTGTGTGCTGGGACTGATCCCCGATGACGTGTCACGGCGGAGGCTGCTCCGGCGACTGAGCGGCCCCTGCGTGTGGCCCGGGCCTCCCGCACTCTGCACAGGAGAAGACGTCGGGGTTGCGGCTTCTCCACCTCCGAAAAGGTGTGCGTGAAGTGATGGGGGTGTGGAGTCTGTGAAACACATCCCGGAAGGGGAGCAGTTTAGCAAGTTGTGGGGCAGCCCTCTGAGAACCGGGGCAGCACAATAGATCTGCGGTGCGCAGATGGGACAGGTGGGAGGCAGCGCTCGGCAACTGGGTGCGGCCACCAGCGAGGTGATGCCAGGTGGCTCACCGTCTGTCTGTGGGGGTGGCATCGGTGCGACAAGCCCCAGCACTTGGGACGGCATGGACGGCACACTCTGCCCAACAGCGCTGGCCCCGGCTGTCCCTCCAGAAGCCGTCTGTCCGTGACGCCCCATGCTCAACGTGGAGCGCAGGTCTGAGAGGGGGCCCATATGACCAGGCGCCCCACCCCAGTAGTGGCAATGCCCAGGGGTGCGGGTGGCCAGGCCTGCCTGCTTACACATTGCGCAGAGACCCCGAGGCACTGGGCCTCCAAAGTGGGTCTCGGGGCAGTCTGGCCCCGGCTGAGGCACCGCCACTGGCGCTGCTGTCTTCCCCGGGGCTCCTCAGTGGAGGGGGGGGGGGGGGGCTGGCAGAGGCAGTCCTGGAGAGCCGCCCCCCTCGCGCCGGCCTCGTTCATGAAGTGGCAGCCATCTTGCCACACAAACATGACTCTGGTGAATGCCGTGCACGTGACGTGCCAAATTAGTGGATGCAATGCATACCCGTTAGCTCACAGGATGTCTGCGATGCTCTGGGTTCGGCGTGGAGATTTCAGAGCAAAAGACAAGCCAGAGCAAGAATTACACAAGGCACGGGAAATGGTCTCAATGAACGGCGAGGTTTTCTGGAGGTGCCCGGAAGAGCACAGTGCTGGGGCCGCCTGGCCTCCTGGGCCACGAGCTCCACGGAAAGAGCTGCACAGAAGCATCCACGGAAGGGCCTTCTTCCGGCAGACTCCAGCCAGGCCGCAGGTCCATGTGGCACCTCCAGACCCTCCCATCCAGGGACCTCACTGACTGGACCGGTCGGCAGGGAGAAGACCCCCTCTCAGGCCTCGTGGTCCCAAGCCTGGCCTGGCCTGGCCTGGCCTGGGAGCAAAGGGGCAGCCGGGGCCGGGCCTTGGCAGGGGAGCTGTGTGCCGAGAGGAGCCGCCTGGCCGCAGCCGCTTCCAACACGCACCGGCACCCGTCAGAGCTGCTCCGGCACTTGCATGGATGCCGCCCAGCTTTCCAAGCGCCCACTAGATAGACGAGGCCCTTCGGTGCCTGTGGGCGTTCGCTGCCCTCATTTCCAGTTTCATGGTGCCAGCTGCTCTTTGCCAGCTCTCAGAGAACCTTTTCCAAGACGGGGCCCTCTGCGTAAATTGGGCAAGAGTTGCGCTGATCCGAAAGCAGCCCACGAGGAAGGACCGGCAGCCCCACGGCCCACGTGCCCCGCCTCAGCTTCCTGTGAACCCGGCATCATCTTCGCTGCCCTCCCGAAGGGAGACGCGTGGGCCAGTTGGCCCTGCTGCCGGCGCTGCCGGCGCTGGAATCCTGGTGTCCTTTGGGAAGTGCCCAGCAGGGACAGGGAAAGAGGGGCGGCAGGGGCCCGGGCAGCTCCGCCTTTGAGCGCAGGGGGTGGGCTGGGCTCGCCACGGGGCAGGAGCCGGTCTCACGGAATCGCACGCTGTCGTTTGCTGGAGCAGCTGCCCGGCTACGCTGCCAGCGGGAGTCCCCGGAGAACAGGGCTCCGTCCAGCCCTGGCAAGTCCTTCTGCTTTCGTCTGCTCGGCTTATTGAGTCTGTGCCTCCTCGCCTTGATTAGCTCTAATGAGCCTTCCCTCCTGAGAGGCACCGGGGGCTGACGATCGCCAGCAAACGTGCTCGGGGCCAGCTTGAGGCTTCGCTGCATCTTGATTGTGCGCGGGTCAGCCCACGTGGGAGGCCTGGGAAAAGCAGGCGAGGCGGGTGTGGGGACCCTGCGGGCCGGCGAGGCGGCCCTAAGCGCTGCGGAGGGACCCCGCTCCGCTCGGCAGCCAGGCCCCGGCCAGGAGGCCAGCGGCCTGCCTCACCGGCGGCACGACAGGTGCAACAGAGGCAGCGGAGGTAGCTTCGGCTCTGCCGCAGACAAGCCCCGGAGCGCCCCACCAGCCCCGGCCACCAGCCGGGGGCTGCAGAAGATCCGTCCGGAGGGCGAACTGTGGGCACGCTGGTCACTGGGGGTTCTCAGTGCCGGGCGTTGGGCTCCCCCAGCGCCCCCTCCTCTGCCCGCACCCCGATCCGTGCTCGCTGGGTCGCCGCCTCCCGCCGTGCCCGCCTGCCCTTTGCCTTCAGCTCCGGGTTGGCACCGCGTCGTGCGGCCGCGGAGGGCTCGTTGGGCGCCGCCAGCGCGCTCTCCTATCGGCAGGAAACCGGGAAAAGTTGACACAAGCCTTGGCCCGCGCCCAGCCGGGCAGCGAGTGCGAGTGCGGGGAGGACGCCTGGCGGGGAGCTCCTGCAGCCGGGCCAGCGCAGCGGCCGCGCCCGGCCTGGCGAGGCTCCGCCGGGAGGGCCGTGGGAGCGAGCGCCGCGCTGCCCGGGCCACG